TTGTGATTGGGGATACAGTGAAGAATTCTTGAGAAATTAAGATCTTAATTTACTATTCCCTAAGTAATGCCAATTACTGTCAGAAAGTGTCAGTGGATTGTAGGTTACTCAAGAGTCAGAACTGGTCAGTGTAGGTAAAAGATACCCACACAGATGGTCAAAGTTAACCCTGCTTATGAGTAGAGCATCTCAGGCAAACTGCTGAACATGGTTAATACAGAGAGATTTAACTTTTCCACATACAAAAGCTGAACTACAGCTTCTGCAATTGAAGACTGGCCTCAGAAACAACAGGTAAATAAAATAGTTTCGGGATATTTTATCACTAAATCAAATTTACCATAAATAAAAGAGGAACTTTAATTTCTCTATTGAGGGGGGAAAAACCAAATAAGGACCTATAGTAACCAAACATCCATGTGTACTCATTCAAAAAGAAACTCCTCGGTGAAACCACACAAGACAAACTTGGTAAGTTTGATCATTCTGATTTCTCAGTTCAAAGAAAGCTAAAAGAAGCCAATTAAAAAGGAAAGTCAACAAAACTGAAATGAAATGAAATGCTAAGCCACAGAGCTGCCAAAAGAACATAAAGGAAGCCAACCTACGGGAAGATAAAGGTCAGGAATCATACCATATGACAATGATGTCACACGCGTCATTCCACCACCTCTGCCAGCCACTGCCCTAAATCAGCAATGTTAAGACTATATTCCTGTGCCAGTATCCTTAAGATTAGAGCAGACATTACTTGAAATTCAAAAAATTTGGCTATGGGGCTAGAGAGGGCTCAGAAGTTTAAGGAACACCAGCTGCTTGCTTCTCCCAGGGTACTGAGTACTCCAGGGCACAGGGCTCCCAGCACCACAAGGTGGCTTGCAACCATCTGGAAGTCTGTACAAAGGTGTGCGTCCCGTTTCCTCTCCTGGCCTCCACAGGTAGCAAGCACTCCCATGTGCTGCACAGACATACGTCCAAGCAAAACAACCATACAATAATAAAACATTGTTTGGTTAGTCAGTGACTATTCCCTGGCAAAAAAAACAGATGTTATACTTCTGACAGCTGTTGGCCCACCCATTAATCCACATACCCAATGCCTGGGCCAAGGTTGGTGGGTATCCTACAGCTCTTTCTACGAGCTGACAAGGAGCCCTGTGCACCCTCTCCCTGAGGAGCCACTATCTTTTATAGACCACGGCATTCTAAAGCCTCAGAACATTCTTTTCAAATTAACCAAGTCCTCTATACGAAGCCACCGTTTTTCACAAACACACTACTAAAACAAAGAACATGAAAGCAGCTAAATAAGTTAAATGGGTTAGTTACCTAAAATGCTGGTTCTGACATATAAAAACCAGGTCATTACAACTAGTCAGGTTTTTAAAAACCAAATACCAAAGATATTCCCTACAAGATCCTCAATCTAAAAGCTTCCTAAATCTATGGAGGAAGTCTTCATTCATTCCACAAGGTAAAGGCATGGCTCAGGTTATCAATAGAAAACCAATCTGAGCCCCGCTGTGGCACTCTTGTAACCCCAGCAAGAGGAAAAGGGAGGAGGGCCAGCCGTTCACCGTTAGCCTCTGCACCTCAGCAGGCTAACATTTCCTCTATTAGCTCGTGGTGGCTGTGTACAGCACTAGGAATGAAAGCCAGGGCCTCACACACACTTGGGAAGTGTGCTACCGCTGAGGTAACCCTCTGTGCAGCCCTGTGGTGAGACAGACTGACTGCCGGTGTAACACAGCTACTTACTTATTAACGGTCTTTGACACTCACACAAAGCTTCATTTCCAGTGATTACCCTTTGAACTGGGAAAGAAACATCCTTACCTGGCTCTGAAAGCCAGAGCCTCAAGGCTCAACAGGAAGAGCAGTCAGTTAGGCAGGCGTCTGCATCAGCCAGCCACCTGGGGGCCATTAAGGGTCATCTACCATCAGGCAATCAGGAACTTTCCAGGGAAAGTGCTGCTGGGCCCTCTTTGCCAAACCTCTGGAGCACCTACTAAGATAACCCTGAGCAAGACCCTCACCAGAAGAACACACTTGCTAGCCTCTCACTCAGTTAGCAAGTGAGATGTGAGTCACAGCTAAGGACCCCAAACACGAGCTCATTTCCCTGTGTTGCTGTCTGACTTGTCAGGAGCCAGGTCTAAAGCATCTTCTCAAACACAAGTGATGAGAACCTTCTAAGCGATACTCAACAGGTGGATAAATTACAAGGACAAGGCAAAGCTGTCAATTAAATTATTAATGTTAGCCTACAGGGAAGTCTTAATAACAGGTAGAATCGGAGCCTCCTAACTCTTAAGAGAACACTATGGCAACCACAGAATTTTCTATTAACACACTTGTGTTTGAGACGGAACCTGTAGACACATATGTGTGCACCGTGGTGCCTGGTTTTAATAACCTGCTTTAACTGGCACCACAAGTATGACTTGATCCCCTCTGGAAGAATACTAATGAATACAGCAGGCAATGCTAAATTCCCAGTTTTCATTGGCAACAAACTGGAAACCGTTTCTAGCACAAAGGGTTTACACAAGAGAAGAATGACCCACCAGCACCACTTTCAAAGTACTTGAAACTCCCGACACTTGGAAGTACTAGACAACCATAATGATGCTGTTTTTAAACGATCACTTGATTTTTTTTAAGTCAATCATCTCTGACATGGAAAAAAAGGACTTTATTAAAAATTTTACATGTAACATGATCAAATGCTGCTTTCTAAATTACTTCAAACCAAGACGCTCATCATGCTAACCCCTTTCCATCTTAGAGGAGACCTTCTAGAACACCTGCTGAGTGGGCGGGGCCGAGGTTTTGATTCTAGTTATGCAAGCAGAAAAGGAAAGGAAAACTTAAAACTAAGTGTTATCTTCAAAGATGTGGGATAAAGCAAGAGATAAGAGGAGCAAAATAAAAGATTTCTTTTACCCAGTAGCTCCATGATGTTTCAGCACTGAACAATGTCCTCATAGGGCGAGCAGCATCCCAACTCTAAAGCCCTGCCATGCTCTCCCATGCTGATGGAGTCAGAGCCACCACCTGATAATTACTCTACGGGAGTATTGCCCTTAATCACCATTGGATCTCATTTTTAAAAGCAACAAGACTGAATTACTATTTTCCAGAATCAATAACCAGTCAAAACTGAAGAGGACACTCTGTAACAAGACAACACAAACCAAGGGGAAACTACTGAAGCATCATCTCTGGATGAGGAGGTAAAGGCTCAGTGGCAGAGCCTGGGCCTCACACTAGTCAGGCTCTCAATTCAGAAGAAACAGTGGCTTTCTGGAGAACTCAAACTCTGTTAAGCTGGAGCTGGCCATGGTGCCATCAGCTCCAAGTTCCGTATTCTCAAGATGCTAAGACAGGAAATCACAATTCACAGAAAGACAACCCCCATCTCAAAAGGAAGAAAATGAAGCAAGATACCATATTTTTGAGTTTCAGTTGTTTCTCTAAAACATATTTCTTTGTACCTGCAAACAAAACCCCCCTTTTAAAATAATTCTGCATAAGTGGAAAACATCTGTTGATTTGTCTTGACTTGTTTGGTTTTCTGAGGCAGGGACCCCTGACCTGACCCAGGCTACCCTCTTGCCTTGGGCCTTGGTGTCTCATGCTGGGACTGTGTGGGTGCCACCATGCAACTGTTACCTCATTTCAAACTGATATTTTTCACTTATGCAATTACTGTGTTTTTCTGCCTCAAACTGATCTCTAATACATTAGACTCAGAACCTTCTACAATAATTCATAAAATGTTTAGTAAAAAATTCTTAAATTTGGTTTTAAAATACAATTTTAGATGAACATAGGAAGCTGGGCGTTGGTGGCGCACCCCTTTAACCTCAGCGCTGGAGAGGCAGAGGCAGGCGGATCTCTGTGAGTTCAAGGCCAGCCTGGTCTACAGAGCGAGTTCCAGGACAGTCAGAGCTACACAGAGAAACCCTGTCTCAAGAAACAACAAAAACAAAAAGAGCACAGGAAAAACTTGTTTTTCCAGAAAAGAGCTCTACACTAAAAGGCCACAACAGGAGCAGACCCATGCTGAACAAGGGCCCTATACGCATGGGAAGAAAGAGCATGTCCCACAGCCACAGCATGACACTTGACCAGGCCATCTGTCACAACAAAAGCAGAGACATACTCTTCTTCAGATCCAATCACTGCTGTACAACCAATACAAGTGGACTTTGTGACAGCAGCCCAAAGGCCAACCTAGGAGAGGAAGGGACTTCCATGTTGGTCACTGCTACCCATTAAGTAGTTCTGATGAGCACTTTATAATCTTTCCGAGATTATTAAGACAGTTAGCTCTGATTCATTTGTGTTATTTTCAGAATACCTTAAAGTGAGTGAGCAAAATTGTAAAGGCACAGGTTCTGGCCTCTTCTTTGGTGCTGAATGATTTAGTACCTTTGTCGTACAGGCTTGAGAAATTATAGTCACTACTGCATCACAATGTTAACAGCACTATCTATGTCTCTAAGCTGCAATGATGATGGCTCGGGTCAAAAATGTAATAGGGATTTAAATGTAAATAATGCCTAGTTTGCCAGATTCCTATTCTAGTCCCTGGATGACAGCTAGCTACATGCTCACGATTTATTTCAGCCATATTTAAAGGCAGATCTTACAAATCCCTACAAGTTAAGCCAGAGTGACCAGTGCTGACTCAACATCAAAAGCACTGCTAGTCAAGTCTCCACTGGCCTCTGTGTGACGGAGCCTGGCTTCGCTTGCCCTTTCTTATCTGGACTCCGGGGACTCAGCTCTAGGACGGGAACTGCACAGAGACCAGGAATGAAGCGCAATGTGCAATGTCAGCTGTGCTTGTTAAAGCTTGTTAGTCTAAACTTACTGCTAGGTGTCACCCTCATCTGCAGGGAGAGCACTGAGACCAGACACTTAGGAGTAAGCCCTGAGAGCCTGGGAGATGACAAACAAGCAGGGCTCATGGTTACCGTGCTCACACATACTCTTTGTTGTGTTTGAGGGCCACATGGTCTGATTCAAAGTAATACACATCAGGGTCATCGTCCTCGTCTTCCGCAGTGTGCTGACTGGCACTCTCTTTGGCAGATGGCAAATGTCCCATATTCACTCTGGCCTCTGAGGGTGACTTACTCAGTCCTTCACTTCCACAGCTTTGAGAGTCACAACACAGAACCTTTGCATTTTGAGAAATTTCAACAGGATTTGTGGGAGGCTCACTTACGTTATCACTAGCGGTTGTATTTGTTTCAATAGGACTCAGATTACTCTCCTCAAATTGTCCGTTCTCTCTGTAAGGAGATGTGTTTTTAGTGGGACTACCTCTGCTGGAAGCTGCCCTTCGGGGCGAAGTTCTCAGGGTGTATCTGTGTTCTTGAGGTTCAGCTAAAGATGTCATCTGAGGCGAGGCACAGTCCAGCGCAGAGGAGGGCTCTGGCTCCGCAGAGACTGGCATGCTTCCAGTACCTGAGTCCAGAGGGTCACTGCTGCTCTCGTCACACTGCTCTCTCGAGACACTGCTATCTCCCACCACATCTACTTCCTCCTCAGAATCTCTGAAGGATGACTGAGTTTCAGAGACAGGGCCTGAAGCGGGCTCAGCAGTCAGCTGGTTACGACGTTCCACGGGTCGGCAGGCAGTTACTAGTTTGTGGTCCTCCAACTTGACCTGCACTTCCGACTTTGTGCAAGGCACAAGGTGGTCTATACAACTGTCCTCCTTCCTACTACCAAAGAACATTGGAGTCTGGGTTTCTGAATCCCCATTTCCAGCTACTGATTTTTCCTGCAACGCGTAGGAACCAGTGCTATTTTGTTTAGTGTTCCCATCAGGCTGACAGTCATCACAGTTTACAACAGCTGAGTCACTGTCACCATTGACAGTCAAGTAGCCTGTGATCTCTTCTACTAATGCAGCATCAAGTGGGCCTTCCTCACTGACATTCACCTTTTTAATTTCCCTTTCCTCACAATCATCCAATATAAGACATCGACAAGCTCGTTTAGTCCCTGGGAACTCTGCATCATGGTCCACTACTGTTCTCCTGTGTTCTACCGACTCCTTGTCTGGGTTCACAGGAGAGTCTTCTTCTGAACTGTTTGTGGCTTCGGCTCTAAGGCAGCGTTTGATGGTCTTCAGGACGGGCAGGGCTGGCTCTGCCTGCCTTCTTTCAGAGCTCTCTAGGGCCTGCCTTTCTAGGTCATCCTTCTCGGAGGAGGAAAGTCTTCTTTTCCTAGGGCTTACCCACGCCTCTCGCGCACTCTGCTGTTTTACATCAGAAGTTCTGCCGTTACTGTTTCCTTTCTGAACTGGCACAGGTTCTGGCCTCTTCTTTGGTGATCTTGACCGTACTTGGGAATGAGAAGAGATCTCTTCTGGGTGAGCAATGCTACGGTTCCTTAAAGTTCTACCACAAAAAGATTCATCCAAGCCGTTTAACCCCACTGTTGATCTTGTAACACGAGTAGATCGGGAAGCAGCCATACTATGGCAAGTCCCTACCATACGGTCATCATGATCCACTCATTGGGGAACCTTCAAAAATGTAAACAAAATAATGAGAAAAAGGTAATAGTTAATATATCTAAAACAAAAGTATAAAGTTATAACTTTTTATCCAAGTACACCCATTAGTAATAAATAATGGGACAAAGATTACTTTAATAAAATGTCCAATAGTGACATTAATATCAGCTAACAACTAAATACCATTTAATATGTTCTAGAACTCCACGCTTATGTTTATCATCCCTCCACTCCCTGAAGTCTCACAACTCACACAGGTACAGTTATTGTACCTGTTTTACAACTGAGAAGGCTGAGGCAGAGACAGCCTCAACAGTCTATTGGCGGTCATATAACCAGTTCATAGAGAATCAGGAGGGCACAAAGTACTCAGAGTTGATTAACCTTAAGGTAACACTCTTGAAGTTACGGGTCAGCTAGTTATCTTACAGAACACACTCCAGTCAGTCTGGGGTTCTTACTAAAATGCCTTCAGGTTAAGCCTCTTGAAAACAAGCTATTTGGCACATTGCTATGGAGTCTCTGTAATTAAACAGTGGCCAGAAGTCCCAACATTAGTTAGTTTGCACTGGGTAACAACACAGCCAATCAAAACTTTAGTCTCTAGAGAAAAGCATGGCACTATGTGAGTGTATTCTGAGGAGGACAGAAAGCTAGCAGTCCTCAAAGGGAAACAGTCACTTCAGAAGTAACGAGTATCATTTCACATATCACACGTGTGTGTATTTACACACACACATGCACACACCCTTTTCTTTGAAGTTCTGTATGTAGTACAAGATAGCTTTAACTCACTGCTTAGGAGACAGTGAGTTTTCGGGTAAGGATGCTCAAGTTTACTGGGATGTCCTTATTGGGTTAACTCTGAAGAGCTAATGACTCTCCAGGTCTTCCATATTATCAAGAAAACAAAGGCACAATATTCACAGTCTCCATCCCCTTCCTCCCCTTCTGTTGCCTTTCTTAGATATCTGTCACTTCACTGCTGCTTAGCTTCACGTGGGTACAGAATGGGTAAAGAAAGGATAAGTAACACTATGATGTAACTTTACCACGCTCTCCTCCTGCCCTGTCACCCTCCAACTCCTGCAGAACCCCTAACACCATTTTATCCCCTCCCCACACAATCAAGCACACTGCCTAGAGGCCTCACTGGGAAGGGGAGCTGCAGAAGACCCCAGGCACTTGTCACACAACCAGCACTACAGGAGACTGCTGCTAATGAGCTGAGGAAGAAAAGCACTCTGGGAGACATGTTACACTGGTTAGACTTAGCTTTGTTTCAAAGCAGGGCACACTTTAAAAGCTTTAAAGCACAAGTACTTGTTCTGGAGAGAGTCATGGAAACCAAGTTAGCAGTGAGTATGGGACAGGGCCATACCGTCAGTACAGAGACAGCCTCTCACACCAACTCCACTGTCTAAAGACTGGCAGCAGCCATCTGACTGCAACTTATTTTCCTAACATCCTGCCATCAAGAGGACAGTCCTGCTTTACGTACTGGTAATAAATACTGATCAATTTTCACTTCCAATTACAATTAATGTAAGCTCAATGTGTAAACACAAACTGAAAAAAATTTAAAGCAATTTATTTCTTTGGCGTACCAAAGTATGAAGCTCTCAAAACTGAAGGTTATATAGTAAATATCTATGTAAATATATGAATATAAAACTAAAAATAAATTAGTTTTATAAACAAACTATAAAATACAAATTTAATTATCTTCATAATTGGTGACTGAAAAACAGTAAAAGAAATTCATTAAGCTTTACTTTTCAATAAGAATGCCCATTAAACTCCAAATGATGTGACAGACTTTGATTATCCCCATGGGAGGCCTCACCCTCAATGGGGAGTGATGGAGGTTGGTGAGGCGCATGGGAGGATAGGAAAGAAAGGGAACTGGGATTGGCATGTAAGATTGTTTTAATTCAAATAAAAATTTATTAAGAAAAGAATGCCCATTCTGAAGTGATTTCAATTAACTGGCTTTCCTTAACCATTCTTTTCTTTCCACACCAATCTGAACAAAGCACAAAACCTTTCTCTGTAATCCAATTTCCACAAGAGACTACTGAGTCAGACATCTGTCACCAGTACTGAGAATTACTTATAAGTATGTGTGTAAGTACAAATACACAAACATGTGTATGTATATATAAATATATATGAAAATCACTATCAAATAGCCTGTGAAAGCCTGTACTTTTCTTTATGATTGTTATAAAACTAAAACACCGATTAGTGTCTTTTATTCCTTAAAAAGGTTTTGGTACTATCCAACTACTGGGCTACAATTATCAAGAAGCTGTCTTGGGAAAGAACTAATAAACCACAGAAATGCTAGAAGACATAAATGTTTTTGAAGACTACCAAGGAGCACATTTTACACAAAGTATTTTCTGGTATTTCAATCTGTTGTAACTCACACAGCCTGAGAGCCCAAGTCATGAAGCTTGCTAGAAATCAGATCTGTGTTTGATACTCAGAGTGGAAGGGGAAAAAAGGCAAGAAAAGAGAAAGACCTGCAGACTATTAGGCCCTATCCGACCCGTGCATACCTGCTGGGGTATGAGAAACACTAATATCACTTCACTCAGGCAGTAGCCTAACAGGGTAATTCAATCATAAAGTTGCAAACCAAATTAGATCCATAATTCTCCTTAATATTTTATTAAATCGTGATGATTAAAACAAATCATTATGTCAGGTCATGATCACTTTGGCTAAAGAAGCGCCAAACAGCAGCTTATAGAACTACCTTATACACTTAAAGTAAAACCTAATCAAATTATGAAGGCCAAGTACAACAAATCTTTGTTATATTTTTATTTCTTTTTCCTATTTTTGCATAACCATACATATATTTTGTAATTATACGATAAACTGAAGGATGTCTATTTCAATATTGTTGTACCAAGCTTATTTATTTAGCAAAGTAGTACACACTAAAGCTGGTATTTTCCTCATTTTAGCTAAACACAGTCACTAAAGAATCCAAAGAGGTTTGGGCATATAATTATATTCTTGCCAAATATGAAGTTGTTATGGGAATAGAATGGAACCCATTTGCCAACTAGCCCAGGAACACTTTCATTAATAAACTAAGGTAAGAGACACCTGGTGACAGTCTTAGTCACACCCTTTGGTAACAGGCATTGCATTAAAGTTTTAGAATTAAGGGAAACCCTGGGTTCCCATTTTCATGTGGGCAAAGCCTAAACTAGTAATGAGACTGACGCTGTCCTATGCTACCCACCAACTACTGGGCAGCAGCGTTTCTAGGGGACAGTGAGAGTATGACCCTCACCAGAATTAAGCACACTCTGTCCTGCATTCTCCATCCTCTTAAGGGAATGAAAAGGGCCAATCAACCAAACTTCAGCTTGCCCACAGAGTTCCCAAGCTACCCTAACTCCATACATCCTAACTATTATTAGCCTTCCACTGAACCACCTTCTCCTGAACTTGAACCTACGTTCATAAAAGTATAAAATCCTGAAACATTATCATAAACCTCTAACCCATGACTACACCCACATAACTGAATCAGGACCCAAAGAAACAGGACAGACCAGACAAGAAAGACTCGCCTACTAGAAACAATATATGCTGCAGCTACACTTTTACTCAAAGACTATTTCTAATACAGTTGGCACCTGTAATCTCTGGGACAAAGTAAAAACTGGGATACTTTTGTGTCCCAGTTTACTTTAGGAATTGAGGAGTTGGTAATTAATACCAATATTATTTTATTTTTATTATTTTGGGTTTTGTTTGTTTGTTTTAAGACAGGGTCTTGCTATGTAGCTCTGGTTGTCCTGGAACTCATTATGTAGACCAGGCTGGCCTCCTGCTCACACAGATCCTGCCTCTGCCTCTCCAGTGCTGGGATTAAAGGCATACGCCACCATGCCCAGGTAACACCAGTTTTTTGGTTTGGGTTTTTGTTGTTGTTGTTTTGTTTTTCGAGACAGGGATTCCCTGTGTAGCTTTGAAGCCTGCCCTGGAACTTGCTCTGTAGACCAGGTTGGCCTTGAACTCACAGAGATCCTCCTGCCTCTGCCTCTCAAGTGCTAAGATTAAAGGGGTGTGCCACCAACACCTGGCTAGCACCAGTATTATTATCATCATTAGTTTTACTATGTGAACAGCTTCAAGAAAACTGGTCACAATATCCATATATTTTCAGGTATAAAGGCCAAAATCAAAGGAAAAACCAAGTCAGGGTAACTGAGAGGTCCCTATAGCATAAGTTGTGCTCAGGCTTAGCTCACCACACAAGTCTCTGAGATGACTTTTGAGACAGGTTCATACTATGCAGCCCTGGATGGCCTGGCCCTGAAACTCTTAACAACCCTCCTGCATCCCAGATGGTGGGATCACAGGTGCGCATTGTCACACTTAATCATACAACTCTTTTAAAAGACAAATTATTTCAATTGTACAATTATTGATCATTGTAGTAGAACAACACCTGTGACCTTATCCATTCGATTATTGAAAGGTTAATAGTCACCGATTAGAAGTCTAGAAATTCTATCATGCAGTTATATATAAAGGGACCTCTTCTTTGTCATCAAGATATACAATAGATGATTGACAAAACAGACAGAGAGCTATATAGGAAGACAGAACAGATTCAAATGAATACACACTGAAGACAACTCAGAAGAAGTCAAAGAATGTCCCACTGCCCTTAAACGTGTACCCTGCAAAGACAGGTTTAATGGTCTAGTCTCAAGACATCAACAGTCATTCCATTCATCCATTTGTTCAAGAGAAAGAAATGGAAATGTATTTAGTCTTCAGTCCATTTCCTAGAGCTTGAGATCGCAAGGCAGAGGAAGAAAGACGGAAAATAACATGTCTCCCCCCACCGTTGTCTTCTCTACTGCACAGCCACATGACTTACCTGTGTAACCAAAGGTCTACCATTGTGGAATAGTCTTTCTTCTCCTTGTATCCGCAAGGAAATGAAGCTATGATCTACAATACAGCTTAAGCTTCAGGCTCTCAGCTTCAACCTCGGAGACTACTAGAACCTCTTAACCGCCTCTCTTTAAAATAAAATGATAAAAAAGGCATTAAATAAGGAAATTAACTCAGGCTACAATTTACTCTGACTACAGAAGCACACAGAGGCAGCAGTGTCTTCACAGGGATGCTTCCTGTTAAGTGGTCTCAGGGGCACTAAGCAACCAGGACAGACATGAAGAAACTTGAAATATAACAAACCCTTATAAACAACTCAATTATTAATTTGAGTAAAACATGACTCAGTCCTTTCTTGCAATTTGCTCTAATCTAAGTCCCTCACCCCTTCCCCGGCTTAAAGCTTAAAGATGACCTAAAGGATTTCTGTGGGACTTCCTAGATTTAAGACTGAGTACAAAAACTAGGGCCTAACAACAAACCAGGAGACTAACATCACAGCACAGGTGATACATTAAAGACACAGCTACCATCCAAGCTTCTGGTACTTTTTCCATATGTGTTTTTCCTCCCCCTCTCCCCCTCCACCCTCTTCCCCTAATCTTTTGTGGGTTTTTTTTTTTTTTTTTTTTGGTTTTGAGACAAGGTCTCCCTACACATCCCCAGCTGTCCTGGAGCTAACTGTGTAATAAAGCTGGCTTTAAACGCAGAGACCTTTCAAGTGAGGGGATTAATGGTGTGCACTATCATGCCCCGCCATTACAGACTCTCAATGAAAAAAAAAAAAAGAGTGAGATGAATGGGATTGGTATGCATGATGTGAAGTCCACAAAGAATCAATAATGTTTTCTGAGTTAAATACTCAGTCTGGCATTTTAATTAACCTAATAATAACATTCTAATTCTTGGCATGTTTATATTTAACTGCAGTTTTACTAGTATGGTATGACATCTTTTTCGGAAACTATATGCTCTAGCTAACTGGGTCATTAGAAGTGGCCATCTGCAAATAATAGTACTAGAAAAAGACAAGCCGATGTTTGTGATTAACCTTGCTACTTTATTCTAAGCATTAAACTAGATGGATACTATTTTAAATGAAGACTTATAATTAAGGGCTGATGTACTCATCAACTCTTTAAGTCAGCATTCTATTTAGTAAAAATGAATAGATTATTGTTAAAGGTGATGTGCTGGCCTACTTAAGTATAGCCAACAGAATCTAAGTAAATATTACAATGATTTAGTGCCTGCTATACTTATTTTAATGCACAAGCTTTTTGTTTCTGTAAATGCTATAGTATTTTGCTGGTCTATGTGTCTTTTTGTTTTGTTGAGACAGGGTCTCATTATGTAGCCCAGGCTACTCTAACTCACAGAACTCCACCTGCCTGACTCCTGAGTGCTAGAATTAACCATGTGACCCAGCACATCTAGTCTGTGGCTTTAAGATAGGGTTTCCAATAGCCCAGACTGACCTCAAACCTCCCTATGCTACTCAACCCCTACTCCCAAGGGCTGGGTTTACAGGTGCACAAATCATCTGCCTGCTGTTTCTTTTTTTTTTCTTTTTTTCTTTTGGTTTTTCGAGACAGGGTTTCTCTGTGGCTTTGGAGGCTGTCCTGGAACTCACTTTGTAGACCAGGCTGGCCTCGAACTCACAGAGATCTGCCTGCCTCTGCCTCCTGCTGTTTCTTTTGTTAGTTTCCAGACAGGGCCTTTCTATATTGCCCTGGTTGTCTGGACTCGGGATGTTGATTAGACCTCATTTTGCCTCCCAAATGCCAGGATTAAAGGCATACACTTCCATGTCCAGCACTGCTGCAATATTCCAAAGTAGATTAATTTTTTTACTTTTTGTCTTCAAACCTGCATACTCATTCTAATACCCTAAAGAATTGAATCTAGGGCTGGAGAGATGGCTCAGTTTTTCCAAAGGTCCTGAGTTCAATTCCCAGCAACCACATGGCTCACAACCATCTATAATTACAGTCCCACAAGATCCATGCCCTCCTCTGATGTGCAGACAGGAAACCCATGAACATAAAATAATAAAAGAATTGTACTCTTCTATACATCTTTACCCTTGAGATTCCTTAGTGTTTACATTCATAAAATATGAAGTAGGAAGAGATTACTTCAAAGAGAGGAGCAGAGGTGTGACCTACCAACTACAGACAGAACCTCTCCTTGCAAATTCTATAGTACACAAGTAGAAAAACTGCCATTTCCCCTGTTTGTTTACAGCTCTAAATCAACTTGAAGAAGAGGTGGTGCACAGGGAAAACATGATCCTACAAAAAGAAAGCCGACTTAAAAACCTAGCCTCCAAACTTCCCCAAGCTCCCCAGAAGTCCATCACAACACAGAGCAGGACACAGTCCACAGCGGTGGCCCCATGAGGACCCAAGGCTCCGTGCACTCTAAGATCCTAGGCACACTGCTGTCACTGCTCAGGAGGGCTCACTACAGAGCATCACTTGCAGTACTTGGCAAACAGTTTTTACAACAGAGCCTAGAGCCAAGTCCTGCTGGTTTTAGACAGGCTCCCATGGACACATTGAAGGCACATCAGCCAACACCTTCTAACTGCCTCCCATGGCCTTACAGAGCATGGCAGTCTTTTCTTACCTTTTGAGGTGTGCCGACTAGTACTTAATTCCCAAGCATCTGTATTATGTGTCATCACTGCTAATGTCCATATTACACTGAGACTTCAGGAATTATTTATACGGTTGTACTAGCACAACTTGTTATCTGTGAAGGGAAATCACAATATGGTCACTATGACTATATCACTGTTTACAGATTTGTAGGTAACAAAAATATTTCATGATAGATATAGCACACATCAAATTGCTAAGTGTCATAACTAATTCCTTCTATTTACCATGATACATACTATCAAAGCAAGATGGTTTGTTAACATTCTTACGTATCTGACATTGCACAGGATCATGTATTCACAATTTAAATTTGTGCAAAGCAGAGGCCCTTAGATTGAAGACGTATCTCATTTTTGAAGTTCACAATCCATCCGACATTAACAAGAAAGCACCTTTTGGTGTTTTAGGATACTTAGAACCTGACAGGGGCCAGCAAGATGAGTGAGCAGGTGAAAACATGAACACACACACTAAATGTGAGAAAAGAAGGACATGACAGGGCCAGGAAGATGGCACCACTGATAACATGCTTGCCGCACACACAGAGGATGCTAGGCCAGATTCCCCAGGGGATATGCCTAAACCTTGGGAGTCAAGAGCCAGAGATGGGCAGGTCTTGATGGCCTGCCAACCTAACAACCTGGTAAGGCTCCAGGTTCGGTGAGCGGCTCTATCTCAGTAAGGTTGGAAGCAAGTGAAGAAGACGTCTAATGCTGACTCGCAAAGCAAGTGAAGAAGACATCTAATGCTCCATCTAATGGAGGGGGATTGGATCATGAGTTCCTCTTAAATATAACTTGAAAACTCTTGATAGGGGCTGCACAGGCTCTATCTAGTTTGGGCATCATTCAGGACAATAGCATAGCACTTGTCTACCATGCATGAGGTCCTAGCTCTGATTTCATGCATCACACACAGACACAGAGCATACAGACACATGTGCACACATGGTCCTTTTATAGTATTCTTATCATAGCTTAATTATACACCAGAATAAACAGGAAAATATTCAAAATAAGGTGAAGCTGAGTTTGTGGTAGCTCCAGACTGTAACCCAACACTCAGTAGTCTAATTAGGCACAAGGATATATAGATCCTACCACCATGACACACTGACAGTCTGTCTCAAAACAACTAATTTACGGGGTTAAGGCTACAGTTCAATGATAGAGTATGGGCTTAGCATGTACAGGACCTTGAAGTCAAATCTCAGCACCCTCAAACTCAAAAACACCCTTGAAATACAGCTGTGCCAACATTTCTTAAAAGCAAAGTGCTTAGTCCAGGACTAAGCAGGGAGGCAGAGCAGGTGGATCTCTGAATTTGAAGCCAGCCTGGTCTACAGAGTGAGTTTCAGGATAGTCAGGGCTACACAGAGAAACTGTGCCTTGAAAAGCCAAATGAATGAACGATTAAGTTCCTTTAACGCAGTTGTTACTGATCACATACCCAAGATGCATCCCTGTGATCAGAGGATGGCAGAAAGAACGTACACTAAGTCACCAGGCTCAGCAGCAGGCTCACCTGCTGCTCTGCTGCTTAGGAGGCTGAACTTGAGTCCTGGTGAACACTGCACTTCCAAAGCAAAGTCCTGAATCATTTCAGTCACTACTGTATTTCCCTCTCCAGGGTGTGTGTGTGTGTGTGTGTGTGTGTGTGTGTGTGTGTGTGTGTGTGTGTGTGAGAGAGACCCATATGTGCCACTGTGTGTGTGTGTGTGAGAGAGAGACCCATATGTGCCACTGTGTGTATGTGTGTGTGTGTGTGTGTGTGTGTGTGAGAGAGACCCATATGTGCCACTGTGTGTGTGTGTGTGTGCGTGTGTGGCACCCATATGTGCCACTCTAAATTCCTACAATAGAGAAGTCAAAAGCTATACAGAAAAAGACATAGGTAACCATGTGTCTGTTTGGTGGGAAAAAATTGTTAGACCAGATATGGTGGCATACACCAGTAATGTAAAGGCAGGAGGATACGAAGTTTAAGGTCACCCTCAGCTATAGATATATAGATATACAGATATATAGGTAGCCAGCGCTACATGAGACCTAAAACAAAATAAAAAAATTAATACCAATGCAAGTAAGCCAAATCATTTCCTAAAAAGAAAAGCAATTCAGCTAATCCAATGTAATGCCCTTAGTTTATTCACATAGATTTCAAAGCCAGGCATTCCACAAAAAAAATAAAGCAGATAAAATATTTTGAATTACAACAACACTTTTCATTTGAATTCCTTTACTTCAGTAACAAGTTCTAGGCACTTGAAAAATAGCTATTTGTCTGTTAAATGCACAAAATAGCAACAAGCTATGTGAGCCCTGTTCTTAAGCCTTATTTTATTCGATCCTTGCTACAAAGCCTCGGTTGTTTTCCTGTACTAACAAATTCATGGGCTATTCAAACAAGCAACAGCAAATCTAAAAACCAATCTTCACTGCGAAGAATTCTCTTCTCTACTCCTTGCGACTGAACACTAGAACTACTGTGCTCACTGTATTATAGGACCTTAGTAGATTCATGACACACGAGAGTCCTTCAAAAGACTATAGCAACCTCCCTACCAAATGTCAGCTCTGGTCATAAAGCAAAGGGATAAACACTAATACTATTAAAAATAAACTGTAAAATCCAGGCTAACTTGAGTTTCAAGATACTGCAATATTCTGTGTTGGGACCCAGGGATCAAATAAAAGGTTATAGTATAGAGTCATTTTTAATACCCAATTCTCTACTCAGTCTAAGTAAAAATACTATGTGTTCTGTAGTATGATTTTTAAAGTCAACTGTAAAAAGCATTAGAATAATAGACAAGGATATAAACACTTCTCCTAGACATTCTTTCATAGTTACTTTCCACTTAAAAAAAGAAATTATTTGATATAAATAAAACAAGACCAAAAAAAAAAAAACCCTCTACTCTCCTGTTTCCTGGAGTATTCAAAGGCACAGGTTAAACTGGATGCCTGCCACAGGTCCAAAAATATGTCTCAGCAGAGGGGAACATCAGATTCAGAAGCAGACAGATGTTTCATTTTCTGTCCCTGGCAGTCACTTTGCCTACATTCCTTTCTTCATCTGTAAAATGTGGAATTACCACTTGCCTCCACCCCAGGGAACTATTGTTTAGTTCAGAGGAGACTACTCCTGTAGAATACTCTTGTGTATCTGCTTCTATTCCAAATCCAAACAGACTCAGCTGGTCTTGACAGTAGTATATAAGCTTCATTCTAGACTTCTTCACTTTACATCAGCTTCCTCTAAGGCCTTATGGTGTCAGTAAGCATCCAATTGAGTATGGGCTATAAACACACTTGACTACATCCACAGAAATTTTCACTGAAAAGGGGCAACAACAATCTTCATTTTATCAACTATTACATAGGGCATTCATACATACAACCATCCTTTAAAAAATTCTGCACTACATTCTTTCTCCTATATAGTTCCCAAATTGTTTCTCACTTTGTTGTACAGTCACCCATGATCATTTTCATATGCAGAAATTCTGGAATCACCTGGAAAATAGGACTGAACTGTCTGTGAAGGATTATCTCGTGTTAACTGAAGTGAGAAGACTTGTCTACAGCGGATTGGGCCACATCCCAGGCTGGAGACCCTAGGCTGTATAAGCAGAGAAAACATGCCATGCAATGGCATCTATGTGTTCATTGATTTCTCTGCACGACTGGGGACATGCCACTACCTGTCTTAGCCCCTGATGCCTTAACTTGCTGTACCATGATGGATTTTAACCTAGAATTGTGACCTAAAATAAACCCCTTTAACCCTGAAGATGTGTCTTTTAACACAGCAACAGAAAAAGAAATTAAGTCAACTACTTTAAATTTTGTCCCTTTAAATGCAGTTTACCAAAAAGGAAAAGAAGAAAAAAAAAAAAACAGCACAAAATACACATTTGACTATTTCACTCTCCTAAAACACTGTGTGTGTGTGTGTGTGTGTGTGTGTGTGTGTGTGTGTGTGTGTGTGACCGCCCCAGACAGTGTTTCTTCTCTGTGTAACAGTCCTGGCTGGCCTGGGCCTCACAGAGATCCGCATGCCTCTGCCTCCCAAGTGCCAGGATAAAGCATATGCCACCACCATGTGGCCAAACGTTTTATATAATTATAATTATGTGTACTTATGTAGGAATATGAAGTGTGAGAGCCCTCTAAAGCTGGAGGTAGGGAGGATTTAACTTCTGAGCCATCTCTGTAGCCCGCCTCTAGTTGTTCTACCCGAAACAACTAAGAACATTACAGGACAGTGATGAGTGAACACACAATGATGCCTACGACGGCCACGGCGCACTGCTTGCTGAGGCCCTGCGCTGCAGAGCAGTCAGTGGCAAGCGCCATAGCTTTCCAGAGTAAGATCATCAACAGGAGTCCACAGATAGAGCACCAGAGCAGAGAGCAGCACAGAACGGGAGCTCGCCCACAGAAACCCTACAAAGGCTTTCTTCCACCTTGAGCTGAGGATGGCGCTAGACAGAACCTCCATGAGGAAGGCCCTCGCCTATTAACTTCATGAGGAAGGCCCTCGCCTATTAACTGTGCTTCTTGGGGCACAGGAAGCACACTGACACCTTCCTGAGAAACATCAAAAGCTAGACAGGGAGAGCATGTGACTGACTGGTAACATCTGTGCATTAAGTCCAGACTCTTCTGAGCTCTACTCCACACTTTTCACGAAAGTGAAAGACCCAACCTATGACCTTTACTCCACATCTGGACCACAAACAGAAGTACTCATCTCCCATCCTTTTGCTTGTGGCAGAAAATGGAACACATCAAACATCAGCTGACTAACTTCAACTGCTAAGAAAAAACAAAACATCCAAGTTGGACAAGAAGTGAAAGACAATATTCTCAGCTTGTAATACTTCAATCTTATTTTTAAGCTTCTGGGAGTCTTATTCTTTTCATCTGTGAAATAAAGATTAACTTTTTAAACACACTTGTAAAAGACATTAAAAAATGAACAAATTACATCATGAATATTACTGGTCACTCTTGAATCCATCTTGTTCCCTTCCATTCTACTCCCTAAAGGTAACCATTAATTAGACATTCAACATCCAATTGC